AATGACTGTCTGCCTTCCCACAGCCAGCCACGCACGATCTACACCAACTCTGGCAAGGACAATGATCAACATTACGCCTTGCAATCTCCTCCGCCGAAAGAAGACTTGGGGAGGGGGGAGCTCGAATGACCCCGCCTCCAGCGTTGGCCACGTGAGACTGGAGATGAGCGCTGCCATCCCCTCCTCTGCCCGCGGGGCTGCCCGCTGGCGCCTTCGACCCTGCGGCCGGCACAGGCGCGCTCGCGGGGCCGTCCGCCGAGCCACCTGGTGAAACTGACTGCGAAACATGAGGCCCCGCTGCTAGTGCTGCCGGAGGGGCCACGGAGCTACCCGCGACCGTAGGAGCACCTGAGCTTGCCTCCTCCACGGGACTTACGGCCAGGCCAGCCCGTCTCAGTTTGACGGCAGGATGACTCTTGCGTCGAGCTCACACCTGCCCCCTCTACGATGCATCTCCAAGACTCCGCCCGACTCCCTGTGACGAGCCCACCGACGACCGTCGACGAAGAAAACATCGCGACCGTGATCTTCTAAATCACACAGTGCTAACAAAGGTTTGCGGACTGGGACGATGTGAACATTAGCGCGCCTGCGAACACCACCAATGTCTAACTCGTACACCCTCTTCCCGAGGTTCGGCAAGGACGGCGCGACGGTGTCCCCAGGGCCGTAGTACTTCACGCCGCGGCGGGACTCTGGAGAGTCCTTGGTTGGGACTTCTGGGACCAGCTCTGGGGGCCAGACGGTTATCTCCGCGCCGCTGTCGAGACCAATCGTAACCCGCGGGTCTGACCGCGAGTACGACACAGCAGAAACCTCGCTAGCCTCGATTGCCGAGATCCCAAGACCCCCCACCTCCGAAGACCCCGCCGCTCCGGATGACGACCCAGAAAGGCCCTGCACCTGCAGCGAAAGCGCCGCCAGCTGCTGTTCGAGATGGGAAATCTCTGCTCGAGTGCGTTTCTTGCTCGGCTCCCCGGTGCCTGTCCTAGTTGCTCCTGCGGCGTCCGCGTGTTTCTTGTGGCAGTCTGCGGCCTTGTGGCCTGGTTTGCCGCAGTAGTCGCAGTTTCCCGAAAAGCTCCCAGCAAAACGCTTGGCTGCCGCCTTCGGTTTTGCCTTCCCAGCTGGTTTCGCCTTGGCCTTGGCTGCCGGGCTGCCCCGGCACTCGCTGGCCCTGTGGCCCGTTTTGCCGCAAGCCCAACAGTCGCACTGAAACTTGATGGTAAGCTGCAACTTACCGTCGCCGCCCTTCCCGCCAGCCTGTCCTCGCCCGCCTCCCGTCGGGCCCCCTTTAGCAAGAGCGTGCAGACCGCCCGCAGACCGCCCGAGAAACCGGTTCGCGCCGACGATGCCCCGCAACTCTTGCTTGATCTGCTCGCACGTCTCGATCCGATTGCAATTCAGAACGAGATGTTTCGACAGATCCCGCTGGTCCGCGTCTCCGTCGGCTAACGCACGGAGAATCACACCAGCCTTCGTTTCGTCGTCTACGGTCTTCCCGGACCCGTTTTCGCACTCCTTGACTAAGTCTTCAAACTTGTCTAAGACGACCCAGACGTCAGCGTCCTCGGCGGCGTAGCCGAGAACGGCCTGGCACTGCACCATCCGCCGGCTCTTGAACTGCTTCGGCTCGTAGTCCTGCGCCAGGAGCCTCCACAGCTTCAGCCCTTCCCCCTCGTTCACCTTCTTGACCTTTAGCAGCGCGTTGCCCTCCACTATCAGAGTGATGATGTAGTTCAACTGCTTGTCCAGGGCGTCGTCGCCCCGGGCTAAGTCTCCGCGCTCTATGGACCGCTGCAAGTCCTCAGCGCGCCGAAGCAGGGACTTGCATCCTCGGCGAGATGGCCCCCACGTATGCGCGGAACACGAGGCTGAGCAGAGCCCAGTCGGACTCTTTCCCGCTGAACATCCTGGCTTTGTTCAGGACCCGGGTGTCCACGGTCCCGGCTGCCAGCCTCCGCGCCTCGTCGTCTGGCCCCCATCCTCTCGGTCTGTGCCGCGCTGCTCGCGCCTGCCCGAGAGGCTTCTGCTGCGGCGAGGCCCGCCCGCAGCTGCCGGTTCTCTGTGCTCACTGCTTGGAGCTGAGCCTCCATGGCTGTAAGCCTCGCAAGCACCTCCTCCATCGCCATTGTCGTAAGCGGTGGACAAGCCGCGCCTCAGGTAGCGCTCGTAAGCGTCGTCGTTCCCAGCGGCGACCTTCAGCGCGCGAAAGAGAGCGCTGGCTCGCACCCTTGGGTCGTTGTTGCGCTCACAGTGCTCTATGGCCTCCCCGCGGAGGTCCTTAGGCACCTGGTCAGGGAGCTCCCTCACCCACTCGTGGTAGAAGGTATTTTCCTCCTCCGTGAGCTCTTCGCCGCCGTCCACCTTTCTGAGCACAGAGCCTTTCAATGCTCTTCTCTGGAGAGCCTCCCGCGCGCAACGCTCTCCCCTAGGGCGCTGGCCGCGGCTCCTCTTCTTGGCCACGCAGCTGGCCGCCCCTGGCTGCACCACGGCCTGCGAGGGGAACTGTTCCAAGATCCGCCCCTGCACCGCGAGGTTTCCCGAAGCCGGTCCGAAGCGCGGGGCTAAAGCCGAGAACTCCTCGGGCCCCCCCCGCGGCGCTGGCGGCCGAGGCCGCCCTGCAAGGGGCACAGGTGGCGGCGGCGGTGGCGGCAACCTCGGCCGCGGGGCTGACCGCGACCAAGGTGGCGGAGTAGGCGCCCGCTGCTGGCGCCAAGGCGGCGCCCGCGGGTCCGACCGCGAACTCGTCGCCGTGGGTCGCAGAGCTGAGCTCTCAGAGCTCCGCTGCCATGATGAAGAAAATCCCTTTTTCCTCGAAGCTGAAACGGCTATTGCGCAAAGCAAAGAGTAAGAGAAATAATATAGAATAAAGAAGAGTAGAGAGCATGATGGGGAGTAACTCAACACGCACGCAGACGACATCATGGGCGGCGGCGAGAACCTCGAGTGCGAGAGCGACTTGGCTGACAAGCCGACCTGCGACAGCACGTTCCCAGACAGTGCACAGACGCTCAACCAGCGATTCGGGCCCGGCAAGTCGGAATTCTCGAACGACATGTTCTGCGGAACAGACGAACTCCAGGATCGAGATAGAGGTCAAAACGGAGGCGTACATACACAAGGTCAAGCCGATCAGCATCGAGAAGGAGCGCTGCGCACATCCCAACGGTCTCTGCACACCAGAATAGATCAGCCAGCTACGCGGACTGAACGGAGCTCTGCAGTGGCCGACATCGCAGCGCATGGCGCAGGCGTCGGCTACGGTCTATTTGCCCAAGGTCACGTGAGCAAGGCGACCGTTGGCAGTTTGCTGGAGGCCAGCGCTGCGATTCCTGAAGGCGAGTGGCGACGTTGGCACACGCATACGACACGTTTCCAAGTGGAAGGGCTACGTTTGGGCGTCTACTGGGACGCATCGTAGGCTACTAGACCAAACTAAGAGAGCCAGGGAAGCAATATCATCATATTCGCGATCGGGGACGACCGAATCGATGACGGGTAAGCGACGCACATGGAGATCTTAGACTGGGCAAACAAGAAGCTCATACGGATGTGTCGAAGTCCCCTGGCAGCGAAGCTCAAGCAGCGGCGAATGCAGTTGTCGCGCTGAAGTTCGCCAGGACGATGATTACGACGATGGTGTTCACCAATTTGCAGGTCGTAGGATCGGAGATGTTGCAAGTGCTTGGAAGGAGCCCGTACATCACGGACTCCAAAGCGCTGTACGACGCATGCGCCTCACAGGCGGCAGCAGGAGGACTCACCGAGCGCAGGACCGGCAGCGAGATCATGCAGGTGAACGAGAAGATGAAGGAATTCAAAGGCACATGGCGCTGGACAAACACGTTCCAGCAGATGGCTAATGGACTCACCAACTTACAAGTCAGGCAGCAGTTCGTGGAGAAGCTGAGGAAACACCCCCACTCGCTGATGTACGACCCGACGTTCACCGCAGGCAATAAGGTCAGCCAGTCCGATCGAGCTGAAGCAGAGCGTGAGCTCAACGAGGCGGCCGCAGACTTCGACGAGGCGAACGCGGTCGAGGCTGACGCATACAAGGACGTCGACGACACGACGCTGAGCAGTTGAGGGGGCTAGCGCAAGCTACGAGCAGCGGTACCAAAGCGGCCAAGAGACTGGCGAGAGCAGTGGCTGTGGCGGCGGCTGCGAAAGGCGCGAGCGGGCAGGAGATGACGTGCCTGGCGACGCCGGACTTCCCTTGGCTCGTGGCGCCTTTGATAAAAAGTATGATGATCACGCTGGCAGGGTGCGGTTGTACAGTGGAAGGTGTGTGCTGAATGAGATATAAGATGGATAAGAAGCTCATGCAGGAGGTAGACGACCAACGGAAGGAGAGCGAGAAATTGCATCGAGAAGTCGAGGACCTCAGGCTCAAGAAGATGGACGGCCTAAGGAACGACGAAGCGGAGGTACCAGCCAAGCCTGTGAAGATGGTGCGAACGGCGAACACCCAGAGTCAGTGCACCTACCAGCGCGACCTCACTACACCAAAATTCCAGTGCTTATGCGATCGTCGGCAGACAGCGACGATAACAAACGAGTTCATGAGTACTGACTCGTGAGGTCGAGATGCGGGCGAACCCCGACGGTAATTACGAGGCTCGCAGGCATGCTCATGCGATTTGTTGTTTGTGAGTTCTTTTATCTTTCATTACAGCATGGCGGCACGCATTCTAACATTATTTCTGAGACAGACTCGATGTCTGAGGTTTCATAATGTTTCTGAGACAGACTTGACGTCTCAGGTTTTGCATTCCATATTTCAAAGTTTTCCTGAGGCGGACGAGAGATGGTTCGGATAATGCTGGGAAAAAGGGGCCGAACTCTTGTTTCCTCTGTGGCACAGTTTTGCTCCAATGTAGTAAGAGTGTTGCGACAGCATGTTGCGACACGAGCGTGCGCCCGCTGCTGCGCTGTATCGAATGCTACTGAGGGCCCCCTGAGTCGTACCAACTACGAGCGAATATTGTCGATCCACC